GCCTGGTCTACAGGAGGTCGTGGGTTCAATCCAGACACTGAGAGATGTTGATACCTAGCCTGGTCTACAGGAGGTCGTGGGTTCAATCCCAGACACTGAGCGCATGTTGACTACCTCGCCTGGTCTACAGGAGGTCGTGGGTTCAATCCCAGACACTGAGAGATGTTGACTACCTCGCCTGGTCTACAGGAGGTCGTGGGTTCAATCCCAGACACTGAGAGATGTTGACTACCTCGCCTGGTCTACAGGAGGTCGTGGGTTCAATCCCAGACACTGAGAGATGTTGACTACCTCGCCTGGTCTACAGGAGGTCGTGGGTTCAATCCCAGACACTGAGAGATGTTGACTACCTCGCCTGGTCTACAGGAGGTCGTGGGTTCAATCCCAGACACTGAGAGATGTTGACTACCTCGCCTGGTCTACAGGAGGTCGTGGGTTCAATCCCAGACACTGAGAGATGTTGACTACCTCGCCTGGTCTACAGGAGGTCGTGGGTTCAATCCCAGACACTGAGAGATGTTGACTACCTCGCCTGGTCTACAGGAGGTCGTGGGTTCAATCCCAGACACTGAGAGATGTTGACTACCTCGCCTGGTCTACAGGAGGTCGTGGGTTCAATCCCAGACACTGAGAGATGTTGACTACCTCGCCTGGTCTACAGGAGGTCGTGGGTTCAATCCCAGACACTGAGAGATGTTGACTACCTCGCCTGGTCTACAGGAGGTCGTGGGTTCAATCCCAGACACTGAGAGATGTTGACTACCTCGCCTGGTCTACAGGAGGTCGTGGGTTCAATCCCAGACACTGAGAGATGTTGACTACCTCGCCTGGTCTACAGGAGGTCGTGGGTTCAATCCCAGACACTGAGAGATGTTGACTACCTCGCCTGGTCTACAGGAGGTCGTGGGTTCAATCCCAGACACTGAGAGATGTTGACTACCTCGCCTGGTCTACAGGAGGTCGTGGGTTCAATCCCAGACACTGAGAGATGTTGACTACCTCGCCTGGTCTACAGGAGGTCGTGGGTTCAATCCCAGACACTGAGAGATGTTGACTACCTCGCCTGGTCTACAGGAGGTCGTGGGTTCAATCCCAGACACTGAGAGATGTTGACTACCTCGCCTGGTCTACAGGAGGTCGTGGGTTCAATCCCAGACACTGAGAGATGTTGACTACCTCGCCTGGTCTACAGGAGGTCGTGGGTTCAATCCCAGACACTGAGAGATGTTGACTACCTCGCCTGGTCTACAGGAGGTCGTGGGTTCAATCCCAGACACTGAGAGATGTTGACTACCTCGCCTGGTCTACAGGAGGTCGTGGGTTCAATCCCAGACACTGAGAGATGTTGACTACCTCGCCTGGTCTACAGGAGGTCGTGGGTTCAATCCCAGACACTGAGAGATGTTGACTACCTCGCCTGGTCTACAGGAGGTCGTGGGTTCAATCCCAGACACTGAGAGATGTTGACTACCTCGCCTGGTCTACAGGAGGTCGTGGGTTCAATCCCAGACACTGAGAGATGTTGACTACCTCGCCTGGTCTACAGGAGGTCGTGGGTTCAATCCCAGACACTGAGAGATGTTGACTACCTCGCCTGGTCTACAGGAGGTCGTGGGTTCAATCCCAGACACTGAGAGATGTTGACTACCTCGCCTTGGTCTACAGGGAGGTCGTGGGTTCAATCCCAGACACCTAGAGATGTTAGACTTACCTCGCCTGGTCTCAAGGAGTTCGTGGGTTCAATCCCAGACACCGAGAGATGTTTGTACTACCTCGCCTGGTCACAGGAGGGTCGTGGGTGCAATTCTCCATGACACTGAGAGAGGTGTACTACCTCCTGCTGGTCTACAGGGAGGTCGTGGGTCAATCCCAGACACTGAGAGATGTTGACTACCTCGCCTGGTTCGTACAGGAGGTCGTGGGTTCAATTCCAGACACTGAGAGATGGTTGACTACCTCAGCCGGTCTACAGGAGGTTCGTGGGTTCAACCCAGACACTGAGAGATGTTGCACTCCCACCTTCGCCTGGTGGCTACAGGAGGTCGTGGGTTCAATCCAAGACACTGCGAGATGTTGACTACCTCGCCTGGTCTACAGGAGGTCGTGGGTTCATCCCAGACACTGCGAGATGTGACTCCCTCGCCTGGTCTACAGGAGGTCGTGGGTTCAATCCCAGACACTGAGAGATGTTGACTACCTCGCCTGGTCTACAGGAGGTCGTGGGTCATCCCAGACACTGGAGATGTTGACTACCTCGCCTGGTCTACAGGAGGTCGTGGGTTAAATCCCAGACACTGAGAGATGTTGACTACCTCGACTGGTACACAGGAGGTCGTGGGTTCAATCCCAGACACTGAGAGATGTTGACTACCTCGCTGGTCTACAGGAGGTCGTGGGTTCAATCCCAGGACACTGAGAGATGTTGACTACCTCGCCTGGTCTACAGGAGGTCGTGGGTTCAATCCAGACACTGAGAGATGTTGACTACCTCGCTGGTCTACAGGAGGTCGTGGGTCAATCCCAGACACTGAGAGATGTGACTACCTCGCCTGGTCTAACAGGAGGTCGTGGGTTCAATCCCAGACACTGAGAGATGTTGACTACCCTCGCCTGTACGCAGGAGGTCGTGGTTCAATCCCAGACAATGAGAGATGTTGACTACCTCGCCTGGTCTACAGGAGGTCGTGGGTTCAATCCCAGACACTGAGAGAGTTGACTACCTCGCCTGGTACACAGGAGGTCGTGGGTTCAATCCCAGACAATGAGAGATGTTGTACAGGAAGTCGTGGGTTTGATCTCGACCCTGACGACGCCTGCTGCTGTATGTTTGGAGTTTGAGTATCTCTCATCATCATGGTGGCTAGCAGTTGTTGATCACCTCGCTGGTGTACAGGAGGTCGTGGGTTTGATCTCGACCCTGACGACGCCTGCTGCTGTATGTTTGGAGTTTGAGTGTCTCTCATCATCATGGTGGCTAGCAGATGTTGATCACCTCGCCTGGTACACAGGAGGTCGTGGGTTCAATCCCAGACCACTGAGAGATGTTGACTACCTCGCCTGGTCTCCATGAGGTCGTGGGTTCAATCCCAGACACTGAGAGATGTTGACTACCTCGCCTGGTCTACAGGAGGTCGTGGGTTCAATCCCAGACACTGAGAGATGTTGACTACCTCGCCTGGTCTACAGGAGGTCGTGGGTTCAATCCCAGACACTGAGAGATGTGACTACCTCGCCTGGTCTACAGGAGGTCGTGGGTTCAATCCCAGACACTGAGAGATGTTGACTACCTCGCCTGGTCTACAGGAGGTCGTGGGTTCAATCCCAGACACTGAGAGATGTTGACTACCTCGCCTGGTCTACAGGAGGTCGTGGGTTCAATCCCAGACACCGGGAGATGTTGACTACCTCGCCTGGTCTACAGGAGGTCGTGGGTTCAATCCCAGACACTGAGAGATGTTGACTACCTCGCCTGGTCTACAGGAGGTCGTGGGTTCTATCCCAGACACTGAGAGATGTTGACTACCTCGCCTGGTCTACATGAGGTCGTGGGTTCAATCCCAGACACTGAGATATGTTGACTACCTCGCCTGGTCTACAGGAGGTCGTGGGTTCAATCCCAGACACTGAGAGATGTTGACTACCTCGCCTGGTCTACAGGAGGTCGTGGGTTCAATCCCAGACACTGAGAGATGTTGACTACCTCGCCTGGTCTACAGGAGGTCGTGGGTTCAATCCCAGACACTGAGAGATGTTGACTACCTCGCCTGGTCTACAGGAGGTCGTGGGTTCAATCCCAGACACTGCGAGATGTTGACTACCTCGCCTGGTCTACAGGAGGTCGTGGGTTCAATCCCAGACACTGAGAGATGTTGACTACCTCGCCTGGTCTACAGGAGGTCGTGGGTTCAATCCCAGACACTGAGAGATGTTGACTACCTCGCCTGGTCTACAGGAGGTCGTGGGTTCAATCCCAGACACTGAGAGATGTTGACTACCTCGCCTGGTCTACAGGAGGTCGTGGGTTCAATCCCAGACACTGAGAGATGTTGACTACCTCGCCTGGTCTACAGGAGGTCGTGGGTTCAATCCCAGACACTGAGAGATGTTGACTACCTCGCCTGGTCTACAGGAGGTCGTGGGTTCAATCCCAGACACTGAGAGATGTTGACTACCTCGCCTGGTCTACAGGAGGTCGTGGGTTCAATCCCAGACACTGAGAGATGTTGACTACCTCGCCTGGTACGCAGGAGGTCGTGGGTTCAATCCCAGACAATGAGAGATGTTGACTACCTCGCCTGGTACACAGGAGGTCGTGGGTTCAATCCCAGACACTGAGAGATGTTAACTACCTCGCCTGGTCTACAGGAGGTCGTGGGTTCAATCCCAGACACTGAGAGATGTTGACTACCTCGCCTGGTACACAGGAGGTCGTGGGTTCAATCCCAGACACTGAGAGATGTTGACTACCTCGCCTGGTCTACAGGAGGTCGTGGGTTCAATCCCAGACAATGAGAGATGTTGTACAGGAGGTCGTGGGTTTGATCTCGACCCTGACGACGCCTGCTGCTGTATGTTTGGAGTTTGAGTGTCTCTCATCATGGTGGCTAGAAGATGTTGACTATCTCGCCTGGTGTACAGGAGGTCGTGGGTTTGATCTCGACCCAGACGACGCCGGCTGCTGTATGTTTGGAGTTTGAGTGTCTCTCATCATGGTGGCTGGCAGATGTTGATCACCTCGCCTGGTGTACAGGAGGTCGTGGGTTTGATCTCGACCCTGACGTCGCCTGCTGCTGTATGTTTGGAGTTTGCATATTTCTCTCCCCATGGTTGTGTGGATTTTTTTCCCGGCACCCTCCGGCTTTTCCCCTCCATGTGCATTGGCCGCTGCTATAGAAGTCCACGTGACAAGCCACTTCATTCGGCGAGGTCGCTTTCGGAAAAAAGAGCTCTCTATCTCAGTGGGCCTTGCCTGGTGAAATATATAGTGAACAGTTAGTACGTCACATGACCAAGACGTACAATTCCGCAGGCTGCAATTGACAAGACCCAGGGGGTTGGCAGCCTGACGCGTCGGAGCCGCATGCGGCCCTTTAAGGACTGCTTTGTGACGTCATTCATCACGTGCATTGAGGCCCTTTAAGGGTTGCTTTGTGACGTCATTCATCACGTGCATTGAGGCTCTTTAAGGACTGCTTTGTGACAGTCATTCATCACGTGCATTGAGGTTCTTTAAGGGTTGCTTTGTGACGTCATTCATCATGTGCATTGAGGTTCTTTAAGGACTGCTTTGTGACAGTCATTCATCACGTGCATTGAGGCTCTTTAAGGGTTGCTTTGTGACGTCATTCATCACGTGCATTGAGGCTCTTTAAGGGCTGCTTTGTGACGTCATTCATCACGTGCATTGAGGCTCTTTAAGGGCTGCTTTGTGACGTCATTCATCACGTGCATTGAGGCCCTTTAAGGGTTGCTTTGTGACGTCATTCATCACGTGCATTGAGGTTCTTTAAGGACTGCTTTGTGACAGTCATTCATCACGTGCATTGAGGCTCTTTAAGGGTTGCTTTGTGACGTCATTCACCACGTGCATTGAGGCTCTTTAAGGACTGCTTTGTGACGTCATTCACCACGTGCATTGAGGCTATTTAAGGACTGCTTTGTGACAGTCATTCATCACGTGCATTGAGGTACAGTTCTCGCAATCATCCATAAGTTGAGCTTTGCCGGGAGAAAAGCGCCGAGTAGTTAAGATTTGAGTTCTTGCCGAGGCAGACTTAAGTATCGCTGAAAGTTTTCCTCGACGCTTTTTCATTTTCGAGTCACTTGCAGAGTGAAGGCCTTGGAGAAGTCGTACTGCACCCAGCTAAGAGTTGTGAGCTGAGACGTGGAACAGGTGGAGATTTGAGTCGTCGCACACCGATAGAGTGCCCGAGCGACAGGCTGTAAAAGTTGTTGGTTAAGCCCAGTGACTTGACGTTGTATGTGGTGGAGAGGCCAGGGTAGAGGGGGGGGGGTGTGGTCACGTGCTGGCTGCTGTCCGAGGCTGCTCTACAGGCAGCGTGCTGGGCCCGACACGTCGTGTTTGAATGTTGAAGCGAGATTCATCGATGTCGTCACGATTGACAATACAAAACCCTAGACAACGAGAGAGCCAGTAACAAGTCGCGATACACTTTGTGCACAATCGCAAATAATCATGAACATACATATTAGTCAAGAATATAAATCACAACAATAATACTCTTTGGTTCTTTCGGTAGTCACATAGGTATAAAATAAAATGTGTTGCGCCCGAAACATGACTTTACTGAAAGAACCAAAGAGTATGGATTCTTGCAGTCACGAAAACTTCAAATAACAATAATAACACACACAACAAACACGTTTTTGTAATGACACATCTAACATTACATTGCACAATCAACATTTCTGAAAACTTTCGAATTTTCACAATGCAATTATTAAAATTACAATGGGTCTCTGTGGGAGTCTATGGGTCTCTGTATGATGAGTCTACGGGTCTTTGTGTCTATAGATCTTTGTGAATCTATGGGTCTCTAAATGATGAGTCTATGGGTCTCTGTGGTGAGCCTATGGGTCTCTGTATGAGTCTATGGGTCTGTGAGTATATGGGTCTCTGTATGACGAGTCTATGGCTCTGTGAGTCTATGGGTCTCTAAATGATGAGTCTATGGGTATGTGTGATTAGTCTATGGGTGTCTGCGTGATTAATCTATTGGTCTGCGTGACGAGTCTATGGATCTCTTTGTGAGTCTATGTGTCTCTAAATGATGAGTCTATGGGTATGTGTGATTAGTCTATGGGTATCTGCGTGACGAGTCTATGGGTCTCTGTATGAGTCTATGGGTCTGTGAGTGTATGGGTCTCTGTATGACGAGTCTATGGCTCTGTGAGTCTATGGGTCTCTAAATGATGAGTCTATGGGTATGTGTGATTAGTCTATGGGTGTCTGCGTGACGAGTCTATGGGTCTCTTTGTGAGTCTATGGGTCTCTAAATGACGAATCTATGGGTCTCTGTGGTGAGCCTATGGGTCTCTGTATGAGTCTATGGGTCTGTGAGTATATGGGTCTCTGTATGACGAGTCTATGGCTCTGCGTGAGTCTATGGGTCTCTGTATGAGTCTATGGGTCTCTAAATGATGAGTCTATGGGTCTCTGTGGTGAGCCTATGGGTCTCTGTATGAGTCTATGGGTCTGTGAGTATATGGGTCTCTGTATGACGAGTCTATGGGTCTCTTTGTGAGTCTATGTGTCTCTAAATGATGAGTCTATGGGTATGTGTGATTAGTCTATGGGTATCTGCGTGATGAATCTATTGGTCTGCGTGACGAGTCTATGGGTCTCTGTGTGAGTCTATGGGTCTCTATGTTACATTATACACTAGCGAGTGGGTGGGTGGCCAGCAATACGGCTGAACGCATTTGTCCTCCCTAGGGGGCGATGTTTACAAACCGCACCGGGTATACAGGATATATATTTACGTGATCTATAACTCCCCCTCCCCCCCAAAAAGGCGCACAAATGGATCCCTGGAATGTGACCAAAGTCATTTTCCATTTAAAGCTTTCGTGACTGCAGGGATTCATCTTCTTGTTTTTTTCGGTAAAGTCGTCACGTAGAAGGGAAGTAATAAATAATAAAAATGAAACATAATAAATAATTCTCACGACGTTTCGGCCACAACGCAAGCAGCCGTCTTCAGCTGAAGACGGCTGCTTGCGTTGTAGCTACGTGACTTTTACCGAAAAAACCAAGAAGATGAGTCGTTTTCCAGTTTACTAAACGAACACATTTTTTCCCCCCGCTAATGCCGACCAAGCTAAATAACCCCTTTTTCAAAAGCAACGGGGTCATCACAAGTGACAATCTCGATGTTCATCATCCTGCTTCACGCCGACTCCATCCACCAGGAGGTCGCCACCTGGAGTCGAACGCTGACCTTCACGCTTCACCGTTGTCTCTTCTTCACACTTCACCATCACTCCTGGCCACGTAGCGAAGTTGTCATTTTCTTCCGGTTCTTGTTTTATGAGAGATGGACTCATGGGAGCAGTACTTTGACCATCGCAAGTAGATTTCACCCTCTCGTGGACCTTCTCATGCTTCTTTCGTTGTCCTGAATCAATAAACCCTTTTCCACACACGGTGCACTTGAATGGCTTCTCGCCCGTGTGCGTTCTCTGATGAATCCGAAGATAGTTTGAGTAGGCAAATGCCTTCCCACAGACGGTGCACTTGTAGGGCTTCTCACCTGTGTGCGTTCTCTCGTGAACTCGTAGATAGTTTGAATAGACAAATGCCTTCCCACACATAGTGCACTTGAATGACTTCTCACCTGTGTGCGTTCTCTGATGAATCCGAAGATAGTTTGAATAGACAAATGCCTTCCCACAGACGGTGCACTTGAATGCCTTTTCGCCTGTGTGCGTTCTCTGATGAATCCGAAGATAGTTTGAGTAGGCAAATGCCTTCCCACAGACGGTGCACTTGTAGGGCTTCTCACCCGTGTGCGTTCTCTCGTGAACTCGTAGATAGTTTGAATAGACAAATGCCTTCCCACACATAGTGCACTTGAATGACTTCTCACCTGTGTGCGTTCTCCGATGAATCCGAAAATAGTTTGAATAGATAAATGCCTTCCCACAGACGGTGCACTTGTAGGGCTTCTCACCCGTGTGCATTCTCTGGTGAACTCGAAGATAGTTTGAGTAGGCAAATGCCTTCCCACACACAATGCACTTGTAGGGCTTCTCACCCGTGTGCATTCTCTGGTGAACTCGAAGATAGTTTGAGTAGGCAAATGCCTTCCCACACACAATGCACTTGTAGGGCTTCTCACCCGTGTGCATTCTCTGGTGAACTCGAAGATAGTTTGAGTAGGCAAATGCCTTCCCACAGACGGTGCACTTGTAGGGCTTCTCACCCGTGTGCGTTCTCTCATGATTTTGAAGAGTTTCTGAACGACCAAAAGCCTTCATGCACACAGTGCACTTGTAGGGCTTCTCACCAGTGTGCATTCTCTCGTGATTTTGAAGAGTTTCTGAACGACCAAATGCCTTCATGCACACAGTGCACTTGTAGGGCTTCTCACCCGTGTGTGTTCTCTCGTGATTTTGAAGAGTTTCTGAACGAACAAAAGCCTTCATGCACACAGTGCACTTGTAGGGCTTCTCACCCGTGTGCGTTCTCTCGTGATTTTGAAGAGTTTCTGAACGACCAAAAGCCTTCATGCACACAGTGCACTTGTAGGGCTTCTCACCCGTGTGTGTTCTCTCGTGATTTTGAAGAGTTTCTGAACGACCAAAAGCCTTCATGCACACAGTGCACTTGTAGGGCTTCTCACCCGTGTGCGTTCTCTCGTGATTTTGAAGAGTTTCTGAACGAACAAAAGCCTTCATGCACACAGTGCACTTGTAGGGCTTCTCACCCGTGTGCGTTCTCTCGTGATTTTGAAGAGTTTCTGAACGAACAAAAGCCTTCATGCACACAGTGCACTTGTAGGGCTTCTCACCCGTGTGCGTTCTCTCGTGATTTTGAAGAGTTTCTGAACGAACAAAAGCCTTCATGCACACAGTGCACTTGTAGGGCTTCTCACCAGTGTGTGTTCTCTCGTGATTTTGAAGAGTTTCTGAACGACCAAAAGCCTTCATGCACACAGTGCACTTGTAGGGCTTCTCACCAGTGTGTGTTCTCTCGTGATTTTGAAGAGTTTCTGAACGACCAAAAGCCTTCATGCACACAGTGCACTTGTAGGGCTTCTCACCCGTGTGCGTTCTCTCGTGATTTTGAAGAGTTTCTGAACGACCAAAAGCCTTCATGCACACGATGCACTTGTAGGGCTTCTCACCCGTGTGTGTTCTCTCGTGATTTTGAAGAGTTTCTGAACGACCAAAAGCCTTCATGCACACAGTGCACTTGTAGGGCTTCTCACCCGTGTGCGTTCTCTCGTGATTTTGAAGAGTTTCTGACCGACCAAAAGCCTTCATGCACACAGTGCACTTGTAGGGCTTCTCGCCCGTGTGCGTTCTCTCGTGATTTTGAAGAGTTTCTGAACGACCAAAAGCCTTCATGCACACAGTGCACTTGTAGGGCTTCTCGCCCGTGTGTGTTCTCTCGTGATTTTGAAGAGTTTCTGAACGACCAAATGCCTTCATGCACACAGTGCACTTGTAGGGCTTCTCACCAGTGTGCGTTCTCTCGTGATTTTGAAGAGTTTCTGAACGACCAAAAGCCTTCATGCACACAGTGCACTTGTAGGGCTTCTCACCAGTGTGCGCTCTCTCGTGAACTCGACAATTTGATGAACATACAAAAGCCTTCCCACACACGGCGCACTTGAATGGCTTTTCGCCCGTGTGCGTTCTCTCATGCAGCTTCATGTGTCCAGGGCGATTCGTGCTGTAGGGACACCGGTCGCATTGATGCCTTTTAGCACGGCGCTCTGTCGAGGGCTTTCTCCATGCGATCGACTCTGCAAATATACCTGACATTTAATTTGGAGCTTTCGTGACTGCAGGGATTATTCTTTGGTTCTTTCGGTAAAGTCGCGTCTAGAGATAAAATAATAACTTAAATTAAATACTAGCATACAAAAGTTTTGATTGCAACACAAGCAATCATCAGGTATAAATTAAATAGAAACACAAATCTAGTATACTTAGAAATGTAATGTAATACAACAGAGAGGCGGATAACATAACAGTCAACACCCTACCTATACACTACTACGCTACACTATACACTACACTATACACTACACTATACACTACTACACTACACTATACACTACATTATACACTACTACACTATACACTACACTATACACTACTACACTGCACTATACACTACACTACACACTACACTACACTATACACTACTAAAACAGAGAGTCGGATAACATAACAGTCAACACCCTACCTATACACTACTACGCTACACTATACACTACACTATACACTACTACACTACACTATACACTACACTATACTATACACTACTACACTACACTATACACTACACTATACACTACTACACTATACACTACACTATACACTACTACACTATACTATACACTACTACACTACACTATACACTACACTATACACTACTACACTACACTATACACTACATTATACACTACTACACTATACACTACACTATACACTACTACACTACACTATACACTACACTACACACTACACTACACTATACACTACTACAACAGAGAGTCGGATAACATAACAGTCAACACCCTACCTGGTTGATTACGTTCTTCCTGAGAATGCTAAATTTGAGAGAGAGATTTAATCTCTCTCAACCAGATAGGGTGTTGACTGTTATGTTACCCGACTCTCTGTTATATTACATTACATTTCTAAGTATACTAGATTTGTGTTTCTATTTAATTTATACCTGATGATTGCTTGCTTGTGTTGCAATCGAAACGTCGTATGCTAGTATTTAATTCAATTTAATATTTTATCTTTATACGTGACTTTACCGAAAGAACCAAAGAATTATACCTACACACATGAAATCGACTGCAGATATACGTTACACGTTACAACATGCACACACGCACTACAGAGAATCCCCCGTGTGCAGGGAGCCCCCCCCCCCTGCATCCCTCCTCCCTGGCTCCTCCCCCTTCTCACCCTACTATATAAGAGCGTGTCACTCAGAGCTCTCTGCTCACGGCAGTGATGTGCTCTGGTTGTCCCACCTGATAACGGAAGCTTGTGTTGCCTCCGAAACGTCGCGACTTTATTATTTTCATATTCTTGGTTCTTTCGGTAAAGTCACGGAGAAGGGAAAAAATAAAATAAAATTTTTAAATATATGATAGCTTGTGTTGCAGTCGAAACGTCATGAGACTTTTAATTGTTTTATATTATTTTATTATTTCCCTTCTACGTGACTTTACCTAAAGAACCAAAGAGTATAAACCTCCAGATATTAAGAGAAAGGTATAAAAAACAGATTTTATTATAATTTGTAATAATTAAATAATAATGAAATTGTTATTATTTTACTAATTAAAGAATTATAAAGTTATTAAGAGAAAAGTAAAAAATAAAAACATTTTATTATTTTTCTTTAATTTTGTTTCCTTTTGTAAATATTACTGAGGGGGGGGGGGGCACAGAACATGTAGTCCAGGGGCCTACACAATCTTAATCCGGCCCTGCCCATGTGCAGCCTTCATTGTGTTGGGGCAGTGAGTGTGACATTGTCAGTGTGTGTGTGAGATGTCAGTGTGTGTGAGTGTGATTGTGAGATTGTGAGTGAGAGTGTGTCAGTGTGTGAGATTAGGAGTGTGAGATTGTCAGAGTGAGTGTTGAGATGTGTAGTGTGTGAGAGTGAGTGAGATTGTGAGTCAGTGTGAGATTGTGACGTAGTGTGATCCGTGTGAGTGAGTGTGAGATTGTGAGTGAGTGTGAGATTGTGAGTGTGTGAGAGTGAGTGAGATTGGAGTCGTGTGAGATTGTGAGGTAGTGTGAGTCAGTGTGAGTGAGTGTGAGATTGTGATGTGAGTGTGAGATTGTCAGTGTGTGTGAGAGTGAGTGAGAGTGTGTCAGTGTGAGTGTAAGATTGTGATGTGTGAGATTGTCAGAGTGAGGTGTCAGTGTGTGAGATTGTCAGAGTGTGTGAGGGTGAGGTGTAAGAGTGAGTGTGTAGAGTGTGAGCGTGTGAGATAGTGAGTGAGAGTGTAAGTGTGTACGAGTTTGTGAGCTAGTGAGGAGCTAGTGAGTGAGATAGTGAGTGTGTGTGTGATAGTGAGTGTGTAGGAGTGAGCTAGTGATAGTGAGTGTAAGTGTGTAAGTGTGAGTAAGAGTAAGTGATAGTGAGTGTGAGTGAAAGTGGTGCCACGCACCGCTGGCGAATCGCCGAGCTGACATTTTGCACACAGACTCGTTGTGCGTGACAATTAATGTTCGTGAAAAAAATTCACAAATTTTACACTGTTTAGGGAAAACAAATTAAATATTTAATTACCAATTGCTTAATACTGGCAGACAATCATCTGACCATAGGTGGCAGTCCATCTCAAGCCAGAGGACGAGAGGACTCTAGCCGCCACGCATATAAAGGATTTATAGTGAAAAACTTTGTTTTTACGGGTTTACTTGTTAAATCCTTTATATTAAGTTCACTTGCTTGCATGCTTGCGTGCTTGCTGCTTACGACCGTGCAAATCTTTCGGTCGTTTTTTAACCCACTTCCCGTGATCCAATCGAGCTGACAGTTTGCACACAGACTCGTTGTGCGTGACAATTAATTTTCGTGAAAAAAAAATTCACAAATTTTACACTGTTTAGGGAATTTTTTAAAAATATTTCATTACCAATTGCTTAATGGTGGCATGCAATCATCTGACCCATAGGTGGCAGCCATCTCAAGCCAGAGGACGAGAGGACTCTAGTAGCCGCCACGCATATAAAGGATTTATAGTGAAAAACTTTGTTTTTACGGGTTAATTTTTTGGTGGTGAAGTCAGCAGCGGTTGTACTTGAGGAAGACTTAGCCCCTGCCGTGGGATGGCTGCGATGCTCACCGCTCGCTCAGTGCCGTCAACACATCGGGGTGGGAAGCCTTTTGTGACCGTTTGAAGGAAGTTTCAGGTCGTAGCATCGGACACAGCGCCCGGTGCTGGGGCACAGATTGCCCATCAAAAGTTGTAGTTTTAAAAATCATCTCTCGGGGGGTCGATAAAGCGAGTACTACTTTGTGGAAAGCAAACAGAGGTTGTCCTGTATCGGTGTTTTCACTCATTCTCATAGCGGGGGACCACTTTCGCCATGAAGGCATCATCAGTGTGGTGAGGGCCGCCACACGCTTGAAACCATTGGGGTTTCGACAGCAGCATGATTGGGGGGGGGGGTGTGTTTTCACATTTGCGTCATGTCGCTGGTGGCCTTGCGATGAAGTCTGCGGCCTATACAATACACCCACCCTGCTGCTGCTGTGGCAATGTGCACATGTCCCACCACCGACTCACAGCTCGGCAGGCACATGGTGTATCTATTGTTTTGAATTATTATTAGATGGGGCACTGCCCCAGAGGTCGCAGACGGGTTTTGTTTCCTTACCCGTACCTGGCCGCACCAGGGTCGCAAATGGATACCCGGCCGGGTACGGGTACCCAGCCGGGTACGGGTAGCCATTCCCTACCCGTACCCTACCCGAAATGAGTGACAAATGGTTACTCACCAGTGACTCACGGCCTACCCGTACCTGGCCGCACCAGGGTCGTGAACGGCTACCCGTACTCGGTCGGGTACGGGTAGCCGGGTATCGGGTAGGGTACGGTATCGGGTACCAGGTTGCGACCTCTGCACTGCCCCAACGCTCATTCGAGTGCAACAATCACACGCGCTTTGAACGTGGGCTGACTACAGAGTCGCGCTGTGAGCACCCCACGGCCCCCAGTCAAAGTCGCTCCAACCACGACGCTTCGACGACAGCACGCCGAGCCGGTGAGCACCCAGGTGAGGGTTGACAATCAACACCTGGGGGTGGTGTGAAGAGAACGAGGTGGGTCCGTGCAGTGGCTCGTTCGTCGAGGGCGAGACTAAGCTGTCTCGGGTGTGGACCAATCAACTTCAAGGACAGTGCATACATTATCAGAGTGTGTTTTTGTTGCATTATGGCTGCAGGTATTGTGGTCTATGCAAACATGGCTCCTTGTAAAAAGGTGTGAGTTTTGTTGCCAGATAGAAGGGTACAAAACCAATTATCATATTTCTTACTTGCAAATGAGGTTCCAATGATGTAAATGCTTACCCCGAGCTCTCATACTCTGATGGTGCATTGTCTTGAGTTGTGCGCCTTTGGCATCATCTGGTCCAACCCATGTGAGACTAGGCTCTAAGGAAAGCTGTCTCGGGTGTGGACCATCAACTTCAAGGACAGTGCATACATTATCAGAGTTGTGTGTTTGTTTGCATTACGACTGCAGGTATTGTGGTCAATGCAAACATGACTCCTTGTAAAAAAGGTGTCAGGTTTTGTTGCCAGATAGAAGGGTAAAAAAACAATTATCATGCTTCTGTTTACTTAATGGGAGAACGTTAACTTCAAACTCTGGAAGGAAGCGCTAGAAATGGAAGTGGTGCGTCTCTTGTCCTAAGAGAGGATCGCGCATACGGGAGTTGCACACCGACACCCCCCTCGCCAGCATTGCAGAACAATGCGATCATTACGATAAAGACGCTGAGATTTATTTCTGAGTTTTAATGTAGAAATTCAAGTCTTGGCAACCTTGGCTGCGTCGGTAAACAAATGTATTCAAATGAAAGCTCGTTAAAACGGGGTTGTACATCCAGGAGAAATACACTGACGGTTGTCAAACAGCAACTTGCAAAGAGAACGCTAAAAT